AACCAATATAGTGTTGTGTTATTAATGTAAACTATTTACATTATACAGTATAACATACATAATTGTTTGTTTGTCTGCACGTACACAGGCTTGAGGCAAAGTACTTTAAAAAGTATTTAAGTACATTACAAGTACATATGTAGCTGTTAGATTTTTTAAATGAGTACAAGTAGAAGTCCCTCATTTTTACAATTGTATTCAGTATGAGTACGAGTACCCTATTGCAGTACTTAAGTACTGCTTAAGCACTTGACCACACTCAGCTAATTATTAAATAAATTTCTAAAATTACACGTACATGTAATTTATTTAAACACAGCAGGAACACTTTTCATTCCAAGTTGACTTTTTAAGCTGGATACACAAATGCAACATGACCAATGTCATAGTATGACTTATCTACTGGTTATACACTTCATAAACATCACAGGAGGTAAATGTATGTGGTTTAAACTGGCTAATATTTATTACGTCAACACATTAGCACATTAGCATTGCATTGATAAATGTACATGTACTTCAAAGTACTTCAAAGTACTTGTAAGGACTCTTAGAATCATATTAATTGGGGCGAGCCTGAGCTCGCCCCACTCTAGCTATACTCTCAGTCACGCCCCGTCTGTCTGTATGTCTGTCCTCATACGTCACCCCTATTTATGCGTAGATCTAATACGGTAGATAGATACTATGCATTACCAATGCAATATAAAGTCAATTTTCAATTTTTCATTGAAAGTGGGAGCGGTCACAGTAAAATAAAAATGGCAACCAACATACTGGAAGAATTCATGAGCTTTCTAGCAGCAATATAAGGCAGATACACCATCCAAAGACTTCTTCAGCAGCTATAGAAGGCTTTAAATTCAATGAATAAACTATAAAGCTCGTCTTTATTGATGCAATTGCTATTAAAACTGTGAAAGTCAATCAAGCTTTTCTCAGTCATCTTAACATCAGATAATATTATATCTAAAGCTAAGTGAAGCATCTTTCCAGACATTTATAGGCAAGAAATCTGTATGTGAAACTAGAAGACTAAAAGTTAAATAAAACAAATGCTATAAAGTGATTTTATCAGCAGCATTAAACTTTCATCATGTAAATCACACTTGCTATGCCTAAATCATGATGCATGCTTTGAAATCATCGGGAGTAGATTATAGATGGATAGGTCCAGTGCCACATAATTGCTTTGCTAGCTTAGGCTCGCCCCTTAATGTTCTACATTACTTCTAGTATTTTAACAGTATGATTATTTATAATTTTTCTTCAAAAGTATTTAAGTAAATACCGAGTGCTTTCAAACTTGTGCTTAAGTACAAGTACCAAAGTACCCCTCCTGCTGCCTTGCATCAAAATTTAGAGCGCTCTGCTCTTCTGCATGCAGGCTGCAGCAAAAGTGGGGGAGGGCTCCAGCCCCCCTGCTCCCCCCCCAGATTCTCAACCACTGAAGCTAGTGAGATTACAATTTGTACATCAAAGTCTCTGTGCTATGTTTCACCAGCCCTTTAATGTTTTACATTGGTTTGGTAATAACCAGATATAATGTATTGTTATTATAATATACATGTACTTACCAGTTCCTTCCATGATTTATTGTTAATATCAAATATCCAAATATCATAAGTACTATCTCCACCCACCACTAGTAAGTGTGGTCCTGAACTAGTGGTAATCAGTACACTGGAATGAGCAGGTCTTCCCTTAGGCCATTGTACTGATCCTCCAGGATTAGATAACTTTAAATAATTCTAAAATAATAAAATAATAATTAATTATCATAAACAACACCCACACACTCAGTGTTATGAATAATAATACACACATACAATACTAATAATTATACTCACCACTGATGTATCAGTAAAATTAAGAATATATACATTGTTACTCTTTCCATTATCAGTGTCACCTCCAAATAATATAGCACTGGAATTATTAATTGATGTTAAAGTAAAAGTATTAATGGGAAGTGGTCTGTCTCCAGAAACAGTCGGTGATATCCATTGTCCTAAAAATAACAATAATAATAATTAGTATGAATGGAATGCATTGGGTGGAGCAAACTAGTTGATACATGCATTTCTTTACATTTCAAGCTGCAAGGAATTCTCAATACAACCAGTCTGAAGGCCTTTCTACACTTGAACCGGTTCCGAAAGTCGGCTTATTAATGCGCATTGAATGCACATCAATTGATTCCACACTATCTTCAAGATCACGTATATTTTGATAGCATTTCTGATCCAGCTGCCATTGGTTATCTATTGAATGAGCATTCAAACCACATATGGAGGTGGTTTAGATTAATGCACATTGAAGTCAATGCGCATTGAAGTCAATGCGCATCAGGTGTGGAATGACTGGAACCGGTTCCAAACCAGTTCAATGCGCATTAGAAGTGCTAGTGTAGAAAGGCCTTGAGTGGAGAACCACCAAATAACAATACTTCATTATAATTATTAATATAAAGTGTGTGTGCTCTGACCTGTTGAGAGTTTATAAAAATGGATCTCATTGCATCTTTGATTGCTAGAAAGTAAACCTTCACCACTGTACTGGGCACCAGGTTGTTTGGGTGTATTATTAGATGATCCATATCCTCCAGTTACTACAAGATAGTCCTTACCGTTCACTTTTATTGCTATCATGTCACAGTTGGCCTTCATCATAGGACCACGACGAGATGTAGTAGGAGAGAGTTCCTTCCAGTGGAAGGTATCAACATTAAAACTATATAAAATAATTATATAATATTTATCATAAACTATTATACTTACCTATATAAACTATTATGACGACAGTTACCGTGATTACACCATCCTCCGAAATAAAATATTTCCCTTCCAATGGCAGCAGCTGCATAGCCCTTCACACCCAGCGGAGGGTTACCAGTGGTGGGTTTCTGCTCCCACCTACCAGTTCTTAGGTCACACACCTCCATCACAGAACACATTGATTTCTTCATTTCATTATTATGTACTTCAGGGAGACCAGGCTGGGACCCACCCCACATGTACAGGTAGTCTCCTACCCGTACAGTGGAGTGTCCATTCCTCTTCACTGGTTGATAGCCTATAGATAACAAGAGGTAACAGTAACTGAATGATACAAACAACACACAGAGCCATAGTCAAGTATACTGACCTGGTGCTTCGAATGCCATTTGTTTGGAAGGTATAACGCCCTAAATTCTACTATGAAGCCGCAAAAGCTTGCCAAAAAGTCAGGCGGAGCCCGACTAGATAAGGCTTCCCTGCTTGGAGCTTATGAGCAGTTGGAGCAGTGAGCAAAATGTCAGACTTGCATACTGAGACGAGCACTGAGATGAGTGTGGTGAACCACGACCCGGTGGGACTTGACACTGATCAGTGTAGGGAAGTTAGCTAATACTGAATTATGACCCTTAATAATAAT